AAGAGTGCATTTTTTAAATTACTTTCGCACTTAATTATTCCTTTTGTTTTCTTCAAATCAGTTACGTAAATTTAAGTATACTTGACGAGTTTTCGAACTCGAAAAGCTTCAAATGGAAAAATTTTACTTTTCCTTTTCAGACTTCTATTCTTCTGTAAGGAATCAGAGGTACAAGCTTTTATATTTTCTTTCTTATTGATATATTGATTTCTGTTCGTCAAGATAGGAACAAGAAATTGAAATAGAAAAATTTGTAGGTTACAAGTAAGAGTAGAACAATTAGAGCTAATATATTTTATTCTTAACTGGATATTATTGGACATTACAGTCCACATCACAGCAAAGGGGGATAGGATTTTAAGTCATTTAATTTTGGAATTTTCCATTTCATTCAATTTCTTTTTACTGATCTAAAATATCAAGTGTCCGAAATATCCTATATTTTTGTGATCCAACATAAATTGCATCTATAACCTAAATTTTTGTAATCCATATACATTCTAAATTCCTTTCTTCTTCTCTAAATTCTCAAATACGTTTCAAATCCTTTTAATCTTAAATAGTAAATGTCCGAAATATTCTAAATTTTTGTAATCTAACATAAATTACTATAATCGTCTATAAAACGTTTTTGTAATCTACACACATTCGTTTTTCCCTAAATTCCCAAATATATCCTAAATATTTTTAATCTTAAATTCTCGAATTATATCCTAAACTTTTGTAATTCAATGCAAATTGCTACAGGCATCTATAACTCCGATAATAATATTGTTTGAAGACCAATCATAGCCTTACATTCTTCCAACTTTTATTCTTTGTCCAAAAAAAAAAAAAGGTGCAACAAAAATTTCCATTAAATTATATTACATTATAATTCCTTCGCGTAATATCGTATGCTATAATCTTTAAACTCTCCCCTGAGCTATAAGCTCTCGCATTTACCAGCGCTGTTACGATTATACGCAACGGGAAGTACTAGCCATGCAGGAAGTGAGAATTGTGGAAGGAATTCGAGAGGAAGCTTAGCAAAGTGCAGCACGCGTTTCGTGAAGTTCGGTCGAATTTTTCTTGCAGTTGGCCAGCGAGTCGCGCGATTCCAGGTCAACGAGTTCGTCGATGTGGGGGTGGTGGATGTTGGGCGAGCAATGCTTTCGACGTCGCGACTCGGGGGAATGATACCGTGCTGGCTGATTAAATTACACAAAGGTCTCTTTGACCGGAACCGGCCGATCGAGTTGGCATCGGCCGTAGGCATCGACCGCCCGGAAAGATGACAAACTTCGTTTCCGTCCTCCTGAATCTGTTTCACGGTCCAGCTATGAAGGGACTCGGAGAGAGAGAGAGAAATTGGAGGGAAATCGAGAATGAAAGGCTAAAGGGCCAAGTTTCGAATAGAGAGACGCAGACTGTGGAGGGGAACTCGGAGGAGAACGGAGGAAATTAAAGAATGGGAAAGTTCGATTATATGGAAAAGGAGCGGTGAGAGAATCTAGAAGGGAGGAAAAAAGTAGATTGATGAGAGAGGAAAGAAGAAAGTTGCAGAATGGTCGAATTAGAGTGAGTAAGTTCAGGTTGAAAGGGAAGAAGTACTTTCAGGAAGGCTCGGTCCCAGCCTTGTAAGACGAGAACAATGGAAAAGTAATAAACGACGATAAAAAAATGGTGGTTGATCGTGATGGTAGGATACGTCTAATTGCCTCTCTTCTATCGTTTTTACATTCGACAGACGAATTTACTATATACGAATGTTTCTTGTGTATAAAACAGTTCAGATTTTAGATTATCTAACTTCGAGATTGATTGTAAGTTGTATTTGAGTTTTCTGGCTATTGTACTCCTTTGTCATGTTCACGCAATAAATCATCGTGTGTCGTAACTTATGCAATTTGAACTCCACGTATCTAATCGTATAACTGTTACGTTTCTGAAGATTTTCTGATGCTTCTCTATGTGAAAATCGTACATTTGAATAACAGTTAAACAACTGAACAAGATAAAACGAGAAACAAAATACAGAAACAGCGAAAGAGTCACGGTACATAAAACAATATCTGAAAGGAACGAAAGTAACCATTTAAAGAATGAAAGACACTGTGGATTACGAAAGAAAGAGTGAAAAGACACGAGCTTTAGAGAGAAAATTAAAGAGAAAAAAAGAATCTTAATATTACGAAGACAGAGCAGAGAAAGACACAAGGAATAAAAATGAGTGTTGGCAAAAAAAAAAAAAGAAAAAAAGAAAAAAAAAGAGAAGAAGCGCTAAAGAAGAAAGAATGATAAGTACATTTCTGTCCATCTTTTGCTCTTAATGCCACTTTGCAGTAAAGACGGAATATTTTAACATAAAACAGCTAAAAAGAAGAAATGACTAATCGTCGAAGACGAACAATATTTTAATGCCTTGAAATATCCTTTAAACTAAAATGAAACAAAATAAATTTAATGATGATAAATAAAAAAATTAATTGATAATAACCCTGAAGCTATTGCCCAATAAAAAAGAAAAAAGAATTGGAAAAATGTCACTCATTAAATGTTCTTCCGCCATACTCTTCATTTTAGGTCAGCGAGTCGAGTCGAGCACGTGGCTCGTGAAATTCGCAAACAAATTCCGCGGAGCTGGTCGCGCGTATTGTCGATTAATTCGACGAGCGGCGCGCTATGAAATGCGCTCGATCCGCTCAGCAAAGTAGAAAAGGATCATTTGTTATTACTCCATTTTTATCACTCTCCCGATTGATACATAGCCGACACGTTTCATCGCAGCACGCTCTTTTGTGACTACGTTATATAGACATTTACGATTCTTCCTTCTGATTTCTCATGCGAGCTTCACCCATTCCCGCAGGCAATCGCGATCACGGCTAGATTTAATCCGATATTTCACGGTTACCGCTCCTGTCATTGAGAAAAATCAACGATACATCGCCGATTAAACCATTGTGTACCGTGTGATCTCGAATATCATCACGCGGCAGAAGGGAATTCACTTCGAAATTGAGCGATTCACCTTACATTTTACGCCACGACATATCCGTAGTTTCAAATAATTGTCATTTTTGCTTCATCAGCGTCGTATTTTATATTTTAACAGGACATAGGTGAATTTTATATTTTAACAGACAATAATCGGTAAAATATTTATGATCTTGTAAACGTAGAAAAAAAATCATCATTTTATTTAATTTCCAATTACACTTCATTTCTTTCTCGAGTTTAACTGGCAAAAGAGATACGGAGAATAGGAATCAGTGTCTTTGCCTCTCATTTTTCAAACCTTGCTTCCTCATCGATATTAATAATTCCTTTCCTTAGAACGATAAATTAATTATTCGCGAAGCAATTCGTCTAATTGAATATAAAAATATTAAATAAACAAACGTAATAGTTCGATAGTAATAATTAAATTATAGTTATGCTACCTGATATTTCGTACGTCATGTAATCTATCTGCTGCATAAGTACAGTAACATAAATTAATACAAATGCAATTCCTATAATATTCTATAAATTGTAGGATGGAAACAATCTGACATGTTCTAATTACTAATTGACATAGTTAATTAATAACAAAATGAAATATTTTATGATTAAAATAAAGTCTTCCAATATCTTTTATTAAGTTGTGTAATAAATTCGTTCTTAGTATATCTTGAGGATATTAAAAATATTACAAAAAATATACATAATCCATCCATATCAAATATAGCAACGTATGGTACGAACAGATGTTAATTGATTAATATTAAAATAATTACGAATAAATGTCATTTAATTATAAATAGGAAGAGAACGAACACTCTAAATATTTCAAGTATATAATATAAAATTGAAAATACGAATATTAAAAGAATCACAGATATATTGTTACAGAAAATATGACGAACGATTCAAGCTTATTGAAATATTTACATACCGGAATATTAATTATTTCAACACAATTTCAAAAATATGTTTTTCATAATTAACAATTATATAATTCAAAGAACATAGAAATATATATCGCCGATGGTGTTAAAATACATAAACGAACTTATTACACAATCCAATAGCTAATTGTCGATGAGAATAAAGATATAATTTCGAAAGGAAATATCGGTGGTTTATTAACGATTGTTACAACAATTTTACAGCTTCGGCTTTCTCTCACGGAGAAAAAAAATTACTGGATCGATATTATCCGATGACAAATGGAATGCAGCTCCTCCCATCGAAGCCGCAGTCGAATTTTCGATGTTCTCGCGATGGGGGAAAAAAACAGAAAACAAAAAGACGAAGCGAACAAGATTCGCTCGTTTCGACAACCCATTTTCCATTTACTTGACTGTCACGGAAATGCATCGAGCACCCTTAAGTATCGATTCGCCCGCCTTTGAAGTATTTGCATCGTATCTCTGCCAAGGATAGGACACGCGTGAACACAGTTACGAATCCCTAAAACTATTTCCAATCTCTCTTTTCATCCCTTTTCAGCCGAGTCCCCTCCAAGTTGCATTTAAAGAAATAACTCTGAATAATTCTGATTAATCCAGATACTCGTACGCCGCTCTTTCGAAAATTTTCCATCTTCTCCATTCGCCTTTCAAACTACGTCGAAGAATGATCCTGACACCTTCGGAGAGTGACGACGAGATTCTATTCGAATTTTGAGCACGAGAATGTTCATTCTCTCAAGAATTCCGTCTTCATCTTTCGAATTACATACCGACGATTCAGTCTGTCAGTCAAATTTCCAGATCGATCTTCGTCGAACATATCCACTGCTATCGAAATAATAATAACTATCCCGCCTGTAAGTAGTAACGATGAACACGCATTCAATTAAATAATAACATCGACTCACTAGACACGTCGATGACAGCGAATGCGTTGACAGAACTCGTAAGTCGTTTCAAAAGTCACGAACTTTGTTCTTCGACGTCGATTATGTCGATGAAAATCAAGCAGCTCAGCTGGCTATCATTCGCGCGCGTGATTGAGAAATTGAAATTTAGAATCTAGTATCCTAGACAATTCGCCCAAAATCGATCCATGGTGTGGTACAGGTGAGGAAAGACGCCGGACAAAGCATGCGCCTCGTCCGTGTAACTCTGTTGCTCGAACATGATGTCCTTGTCCACCAGAGCCTTGTTCAAGGCCATGGCTTGCTGGTAGTGCACGTTGTCGTCGCCAGTACCATGTATCAGCATGAACTTTTTGCTACGGATCCCTTCCACCAACCTGGTCACATCCGAGTGGTTGTAGCCGTACAGATTATCCTCGGGGGTGGGCAACCCCATGAACCTCTCCGTGTACAAAGAATCTACGATCGAAGATGATCTTTGACATTATGAATTACGCGAGTGAGCAATTTGTTGCACTGTGGAAATGAATTAGTACGTTTTTACGCGTGTACAAATAATATTTTTGAATTGATTCATCTATTCAACAGACAATATGGCGTTTTCTGCTAAATGCATTCTAACCGATCACGTTTCTTTTTTTTTTTTTTT